AGATCCAACAATTTGTGCTGCCATCTAGTGACATAATTTTCTGTAGTTTCTTTATTTTTTTTAAATACTTCCTCATTATAATAAACAGGAATAATCAGGATCCTAGTAATTATAGACCCATTTCAATTCTACCGACACTAAGCAAGATTTTTGAAAAACTTATTCTGGAACAATTAATATCCTACTTTAATTCCAACGAACTTTTGCATACTAAGCAATACGGTTTTACCAAGGGTCGTTCGACAACAGATGCGGGTGTTGCGCTACTAAAGCATATATTTAAAGCATGGGAGGGATCACAAAACGCTCTTAGAGTTTTTTGCGATCTGTCCAAAGCCTTCGATTGTGTTGAGCATCAGACATCATCAGTCGTTTAAACTGAATTACTACGGTATTAAAGGTGCTGCTCAAAAACTAATGCTGTCGTATCTTAGTTCCAGAACACAAACGGTAGATATAAACGGTGCGAAGTCGTCGGGGTCTCATGTAAAAATAGGCGTTCCCCAAGGTTCTATCTTAGGCCCATTTCTGTTTTTAATATATATAAATGATTTGCCATTTTTTGTTAAAAACCTATATGAGATCGTGTTGTTTGCAGATGACACTTCATTAATATTTAACATTGACAGAAACAAATATAATTTTGACGATGTAAACAATGCTCTGTCACGAGTGTTATCTTGGTTCACAGTTAATAATCTTCAATCGAATGCTAAAAAAACCAAATGTACAAATTTCACTTTACCTAATGTAAAAGTAGAACCAACTGAAATTAAACTCAACAATGAACATTTAGAGTTAGTAAGTTCAACAAAATTTTTGGGCATAACACTAGATTCAAAACTGCAATGGAACCCGCATATTTCTATATTAGCTGGTAAACTCAGCTCGGGTGCATATGCCATACGAAAAATAAGACAAATTACCGATATAGAAACTGCCCGGACAGTGTACTTTAGTTATTTTCACAGTATCATGTCCTATGGCATTATATTGTGGGGAACGGCAGCCGATATTCAGTCTATATTTGTTTTACAAAAAAGGGCAATAAGATCTATCTATCAGTTGGGCTCGCGAATATCTCTTAGAGAGAAAGAATCATGTCCAATTTTGACCTAGAAATTTACTGATGCGTCTAGTGATGCGTTATATCTTAAAAAATAGCTTATTTTTTACGTATTTCATAGCGCATAATAAAATATTAAAATAAGTCCAGGAAAAAAATAAGGAGGCTGATAAAGTTTAAAAAAAATTGTATGTTTAATACGAGAACGCGATTCGGACCGCAGAATGACCGCTTGCTGCGATTCGTTTCATCTACTACGAGAAATATATTCATTCGCCTTAGGATTAAAAAAGTACACAATAACAATTACATTGTATTTTATTTTCTCAAGTTAGAATAATAGATTTTAAAGATTTTATTTTAATGGCATGAATGATGTGAAAAAAGAATGTACAGTTGAACCAGTTACGCATAGAGCGAAATTCTTTTGCACCAAACGGAACGGTAACGTCAAACGAATGTCAGACAGTGATAGGGGTGTCCACTTAAAAAATATATCGATATGAATACTCGATATAAAATATCGGAACTGACATCGATGTTTTTCGATATATCGTATAAAAACATCGATATTTTTTAAATATCGAGTATTTTTTGAAAATTTCAATGTTTTCCTTTTTTAGGCCCACTTGCAGTAAAATTTCCAAAATCTCGATTTAATTTAATCCAGACTTAGCCTTAAACTCGACTTAACTTAAATCTAACTAAAGTTATCTTGCAGATCCTAAAATCATGACCAGTTTAACTAAACCAAGATTTAGCATATTATTCGTTCACCATTTATTCCTTATGTTCCGTTTTTGATAAAAAGACTAGAGTCCGGCGCCATAAAATCAGTTTAGAAAAACAAACGTCATCATCGTTTTTGTCAAAACTCAACATCAACATACATTTTTTTAAAGTCGCCGCGCCATTTCATCATTCATAGTTATTCATAAAGTAGAGTAAAACTGTTTATTAATAACTAAAAAATACCAATAAACCGTTTGTACTGCCGAACTAAAATAATGAAGAGAGCAATTTCACAATTGCTGAAAAAATGCACCTTTTAAAATTAGTGGAGAAATATCTTATTATAGAAAACAAGAAAACAGATGGGGCTACAACAAAAGATTAGCAATTGGCTTGGCAAAACTTAGCTGCCGAGTACAACTCGTCCAGGACGTCTGAAAATTTGATGTCATGTTATAAAAATCAAATTGAAAATGTTGTAATGTTAAAATTTACTTTAGCTTTTATTGTTATCATGAGTCAGCTGTCGACGTTATTTAATCGATTCGATATTATGTTATAAATGTATCGATATTCGATATATCGAATAGAAAAATATTTTTCAAAATATCGAATCAATCCGATATATCGTATGGAAACATCGAGTACTTTCGATATATCGACGATATTTGAACATCCCTAGACAGTGATCTAATTGACATTTTGCAGTCTCCTGTTTGATTTGCTCTTTCTTTGTTATGTATTGCGCGATTTTGATTCTTTCATTCATTTCATTTTCATTTTACATGTAGAAATTAATTTATTCACTTGACATTGACAGAATTGTGCGAAATGCGCAGATAAGCCATTAATAAAAGAAGAAGAAGATTTCTCGATAAACCCTTACAACTTTTGCTTTCTCCACGGACTCCGATACCAATCACTTACTGTTTCTGTGGCTTGTATTGTTTGGACTTCGATTTTGTGTCTTTTGATAAGGATTTAATACGTACTTAGTGCTTTCGTTTGAAAACATGATGGAACATTCTACGAGATCCACCACGCATAGATTACTCTGTATAAATTGTAACTTTTGTGTTAATAGGATTTTATCACTTTATTAGAAGAATCCACGGCTGTTGCATGAACACAGGAGTATATTAGGTCTTGCTGGAATCTTAATAAAGATTCGGACAAGTGACTCTGATTTACGAATTTCAACTTTCTTAAAAGTTCCTCGTGTCACATTAGAAGGATAAATGTATGCAGCAAGATAAATACTCAGTCAAGATTTTGTTTCTAATTATTTAAGAATAAATCATATGACAAGAGACCAATCAATGGAACATAATCTGATGATCCCAAATGGTATTTACAATCACAATAACAACCAAGTGATTGTAATCTGTGATGGTACATATATTTATATTAATAAAAGTAGTAATTATATGTTTTAAAAAGACATTCTAATAAATAAAAATTATATGTTTCATAAATATAAGAATTTGTTAAAACCAATTTTAATAGTAACATGTGATGGAAATATTTTGGATAGCTATTTTGTGTGATGCAGTGATGAAACTATTCTCATAAAAGGACTTATAAAATCCAGGCATGTCTCAAGGTGCCAGTATTATGTTTATATTTTAATAATAAATGGTGTTAATGGACGAGAAGGCATTAAACAGTATTGTTGCAATTGCCTCTTAGGCCGTCGCACTGTTAATTGTTGTGCACATGTTATGGCGATTGTGTGGTATCTGGGTTGGGCCGGCACAAAAATAGCATTAATCCTTCATCTGCATTTTGGATGAAGTAGTTATAAGAAATGGTAGTGGCAGTGAATAAATAAATTAATAACAAACACCTGTTTTTTTATTTCTATTTAATAATATAATCTAAGCTGAAAACACCATTATGCGTAATCAATTTTAATATTCCAAGTATACTTTGATCAAGGAAATAGTAGCAATGCAAAGAAATTTATAAATGTTTCGAAAAAAAAAAAACAAACTTTAGTTCACTATAAAAGATTAATACTTTAAAGATGTCATAAAAATCATAAAATATTACTATACATTTTTAATAAAATTAATAAATGGTATTAAATAAAACAAAATTCGTAATTATCTCGAGTTTTGACAGTTATTATAACCTCAATATATTATTTACAAATTGCACTTTTCCCTGGACTTTAAATGAAAAGATTATTTGTTAAAATTCTATTAAAAGCAAAAACCAATTTAAAATAACACCATTTGTAAGAAGACGCGACCTTTAAAAGAAAACGAGTGACAGGTCAATCAATGTATGGAGAGTGGACATGATTCTTTAAAGAAATTGGAATATTGACGGTTGCATCTCAGTTTATTTAAAGTTGTATACTGTTTGTCCGGAACAATATTAATGTGTATACCAAACAGTGATGTACACAAACTTAATACTAGAAATAAAAACAAGCTAGTAATGCCTTCTTACAGGTTACAGAAGGTATTAGGTTCTTTCATGGGTCAAGGTATACAATACTTTAATAAGATCCCCAGTGATGTATTAGATTTGCCAATAAATCATTTTAAAAGTCATATTAAAAGTTGTCTACAAAGTAAAGGGTATTATACCGTTAAGGAATATCTAAATGACAAAAAGGCATGGTGTTAGATATTTTAACTTTATTGTATTTACTTTCTAATATTGTAATGGAAAGTGACTTCATATTCTAATGAAGTCACTTTTCAATAAGACTTCTCTGTGTGAAATAAAACAGGGAGAAAAAAACAGCCCTTGCTGAGTTTCTTGCCGGTTCTTCTCAGTACAAGGTCTCCTGCCGTAGTTTTGCGAACCGATGGCGTAGTTTTCGACTTTCACAAGTGCTCTGTAAAAGCCTAAACTGAATAAATAAATTTTGATTTGATTTGATTAAAAAATGCTTGGTCTTACACATGTGTTTTTAATTATATCAATATTCATTGTACATCCATGACATAAACAATATGTAAACTATAATATCCAGGTACATAAATTTCGCTACACGTGTAAAAGCCACCAACGTGACAGTGATATTGGCGAAATTGTGTAAACGCAGATAAAATAAAGAAGGGGTTATTTTGTAATTAAAAACGATTAAAAATAGACTTCCAATCTCTTATCTTATCATTGGACCGATTAAGAGAATACCAAATAAATTTACCCACCTAATTACTACATCTAGTCTTTTAAAACCATTTCATTCAATAATTTATGAACAATGCTAACTAATAGTGAAATCTTTAAAAAATTGGAAGAGTTTAAATCAGTTGTATTTGATTCATTGGAAGAAGTTGGAGACCTCGACGGAACATGTAAATCTTTGATACAAGAGTATCTCACGGAAACGGAGTTATTAAATCCAATGGCTATCGTCAAAATTCAAGCTATTATTGATTATATGTATGAACAAGTCAATATAGGAAATTGGAAGGAGGTAAAACTATATCTTAGAAAAACAATAACTATAGCTTCTTATTTATTGTTACTAGCGAAAACAAAATGTACGAAAGAAATCACAGAGTGCTTGGTAAAAGATATGTATAAAGTAATTGATTTTGGTATAATGTTTGGCTGTCCTGTAGATGAGGAGCCTGATTTGCTTCAAAAATGTGCCAGTTACTTAAACTCGTTAGGTTTATTGCCTCATAGTACTACTGAAATGTCCAATCAAAGTGAAGAAATAGTGAATATTGATAGTAACAAATACAATGCCCATGTTGTAGAAGCCATTGAATGTCCAAGCATGGAACATTTCTATAAGAACTATATCGTGGCTGAAAAGCCGGTTGTATTAAAAAATTGTATTAATCACTGGCCAGCACTGACTAAATGGAAGGATCAAAATTATTTTATTAAATTAGCTGGACCACGAACTGTCTCCATTGAAATAGGACGTGACTACACAGAGGCAGAATGGACACAAAAGCTGATGACCATAGAAGAGTTCATAAAGAATTTTATATTCCAAAGTAACGGTTCTACTGGATACCTTGCTCAATATCAGCTATTTGAGCAAATCCCAGAATTAAAGGAAGATATAATCGAACCTGAATATTGTTGTTTCTCTGAAAAAGATGATCCAGTTGATGTTATGGCCTGGTATGGTCCAAAAGGCACCATATCACCTCTACACCATGACTCAAAAAAGAATTTGCTTACCCAAGTTGTTGGTGAAAAACAGATTTTCTTGTTTTCACCCCAAGATTCAGAATATTTGTATCCTCATGATCATGAATTGCTGCACAATACATCAAAAGTGGATCCGAGACACCCTGATTTATTAAAGTATCCAAAATACAAAGATGCCAAAGTGTATTATTGTGTTTTAAGTCCAGGTCAGATGCTATACATCCCTCCTAAATGGTGGCATTTTGTGGAATCATTGTCAATTAGTTTCTCTGTTAGCTTCTGGTGGAACTGATACTTCATGGGAAAATCTTGTTGCCAACTTAATGGAATAAGAAATGAAAAATATGAAAGAGGTATGTATGTTTTTATTTTGTAACTTATTATGATAAGCATAGTGTCTTGTGTTATGGCTCATTTAAATTGTTTGATAAGGGCCATGTGCAGAGTATGGTACATTTTCTGAGACAGTATATTTATTAGTATATAATTAGTTGGTAAACCTATGATAGCCAATGATCAACCAATGAAAATAAGGCAAAGAAATGGCACAAACTGCAAGTGAGCTACATTCACACAATTTAAATGAACCATTAAGTCATTGTATTATATTTTTGTTAATTTTGACTATTGCTGAAAACTTCACTTATTCTTTTATGAATTATTATAATAAAGTTATGCAATATTTCAATCCCGGCTTTAGGACCGTGCGCAACCCTTTTATGAGACCCTTTTGTGAGACATGTGCATTCTAAGAAATCATTTGCACAAGAATTAAAAGAAGCGTTGCGTTAAAACCTGGTGTTGGCGGTTTTAAAACACCCCAACAACCTAAATCAATCTAATGTCCATTCAAAAATGGAACATAGCGTGAGAGTAAAGCGTCGCTTTTGAAAAGTACTGGGTGAACATATACTTGGGAATGCATTTGTTTTATTTCTATGCTTTTTAACGGACGTTGAAAAGCTCTCGTGCGAATGAAGGTTACAAACTGCGCCTTTTAGCTAGTGCCGAATTTCGATTAGCGATGAGACAGCGGCGCGGGTAGATTTACAATGAAACAATTAGAGACACTCCAAGCTCGTGTCACGCGATGCTTCTTATACACGTTGACTATTCGTCTATATTATATTATAATGTTAATGCTATATTATAGCTTAAAAATATGACTTCCTTTTTATAGAACACTAGTGGCCGCCAGAGAGTTCGTCCGCGTTTTCCGTTATTTCTTCGCTCCTAATAGTTGTAGTGTGATGTTATATAGCCTAAAGCCTTCCTCGATAAATGGTCTATTCAACACAAAAATAATTTTTCAATTTGAACCAGTAGTTCCTGAGATTAGCACGTTACATACAAACAAACTCTTCAGCTTTATAATATATATTAACTAGTATAGATATAGAAATGTTATTGTTGTTACATAAAACAAAAAATATCAATTAGGATAATAATGTTAGCTGAAAATCAACTTTATTATATTCTTTAACTTACAATATTTATATAATTATCACTCCGTGTTTAATACTGACTATTAATAGCTTGACCTATAATTGTTCTCCTAATTTCTGAAGTTCCTGCTCCAATTTCACCCAATTTACTGTCTCTTAGTATTCTACCTGCTGAATAGTTATATATAATGATATAACCATTTCCATCTGTAAATTATTTTAATTTCTTCAATAGTTTATTAATAAAAAGACAAACTTAATCAAAAACAATATTTAATTTATAACAAAATCTTCCTAAAATATAAGCTTGTATTATTTGTATTCATTATTGAGTGCTCTTCCTATAAGCATTCTTCTTATTTCTGAAGTGCCTGCACCAATTTCATAGAGTTTGGCGTCTCTAAGTATTCTGCCAGTTGGGTAGTCGTTTATGTAGCCATTTCCACCTATGTAAAAAATTTAACATTCTTAAAGACACTGTGAGACTGTCTAATGATTTGTGATGAATTTGTTTATATTGCAAAATGACTGTTATGAAATAATAAATAACAGCTACTTTAACTATTATGCATTTAAATTTCACAATTAAAAGATGTATGATCTCCCAAAATTTTGACAGAAAATGGGTATGATAGGTAAAGTCGCTAGCTCAACACTCAAACCCACTAGGGATAAATTTATATTGAAAGTATTTATTTGCCAATATTTTATACTATCATTTTTTCTTTTTCATCAGTTTGGACTTTATCATTTTTTATTAGTTTGGACTTTAATACATACATGAGTATGTATTAAAGTCCAAACTGTGGGACACAAGCTTTCCCTATGGCTAGAATCATATATTGCTCATTTTAACAGATTCATAAGCTTTGAGGAAAATTTTCAAATTCATTTAGAACATGAACTCCTAGTCGGTTGGGTCAAACGCTTTTTAATATTTTCAACTAACTTATAATATTTTCAACTAACTTATAATATTTTCAACTAACTTACCAAGTATTTGTATAGCATCCAAGGCAAGCTGTGTTGCTTTTTCTGCACAGTAAAGTATTACTCCCGCGCAATCTTTGCTGTTCACGTGGCCATCATCGCACGCCTTTGCTACGTTATAAAGGTAGCTACGGCACGCGCTCAAAGTAGTGTACATATCTGCCATTTTGCCCTGCAACATGGAAGTTGGATAAAATGATGAAAGATCATTAAAATAATTATGTAATATAAAGAGAACATTTAATCTGACTCTCCAAGTAGCTGAAGCTTTTGTAATATGTAAATTACAAAAAACGAAGCTGCTGGAGGAAATTCAAGAATAATTGCAACATATTAGAGTCGAATTGTTTTAGGTATAACTAGCTTTCCACCAAAGGCTTCGCCCGCATGGTCCTGTATTATATTGATATTGATGCAAACCGCATTAAAATTCGTTTTGTAGTTTAAAAAATCTCTGCATACAGACAGGCGGGAAGCAACTTTGTTTTATACTGTGTATAGATGTTAAATTGCCGTAGAAACTTAACAAACGCGATGCACACGCCATACATTGCACCTTAGAGCCATCTTGTAGAAATGGGGCTTAACTATAGTAATGATGGTTAGATAGGTGTCAATAAATGTGTCACCAAATTGCAAAAAGTTCGTTTTCTTTTCAGCATTAAAGGCGGCAAGTTTATTAGACAGCTTTGCGAGTCAATCGATCACAGAGTTCTTCAATTATTGAAGTAATGTCACCTCTGTAAATATCGATTCTGAATTACAAGTTTTACTGCATTCTCTGATAGTAATGAAAAATCAGTCTCTACCGCGTAGGACAAATGTTCTTAACGAAACCTTTGGTAATATTTTATTTGATAATTTCTAATGTACCTGTAATAATTGGAACTCTCCAATCGACTTTCCGAATTGCTTCCTCGTGTGTGCGTATTGGAATGCAACATCTATGGATGCTTGCATCAGTCCTACTGGACCTGCAGCTAACACCAGACGTTCCAAATCTAACCCTGACATAAGCACATACACACCCTTGTTTTCTTCACCAAGTATGTTTGTAGCTGGAACCTGTCAATTATTTTAAAATTATTTTTTAATATCTTACTGTAATTTATTGTAGTTAAAATACCATAGCCTTGTCTTGACTGCGTTGACATACAAGCTTGAATTTTAATTATACTGATTCTTCTACAACTGATTGACTGAAAGACGGACATCATAATGATCCTATAAGCGTTCGTACGAACGTGGTAGTTTTTTTTCTATTATGAATACTGTGAGTAATATGACATTATCTGATTTAGTTATTATATTACTACTTTCTCCACATTCCACTTAATATGTGTTTTGGATTATGGATATTTCGTCTACTGCTTGATAATTAATACCTTGCAGTCTTCAAACACTAGCTCGCATGTGTTGGATCCTCTCATTCCAAGTTTATCCAGCTTTTGTGCTGTCGTAAAGCCAGGAAAGTCTTTTTCAATCAAAAATGCTGTTATTCCGTGTTGAGGTTTGCTCGTCGTATTCGTTTTTGCGTAGACCTGAAATATTAAATTACATAAATTCAGCAGTCTTTGTGTGTTTTCTAAAAGTTTACATTGAAAAAGATATAGTATATTCTTAAAAATGCTAACTCTACATGTAAAGAGGGTTGTTGAATTTTCCAGTTCTACTCTCTGTAGAACTGGTCTGTTTTGATTTTTCTTCCCTTTTATGCCTTAGTTGGTCGATGTCAACTTCACTTTCGCTAATGATGATGCATAAGCTAGAAAATATCTTTTAATTATAAAATCTCAGCGTACCACTAAAACGTCAGCATCACATCCGTTCGTGATCCAGAACTTATTGCCGTTGAGCACGTAGTAATCTCCCTTCTTTTCAGCTCTCAATTTCATAGAGACAACATCACTGCCTGATCCAGGTTCGGACATAGCTAAAGCACCCATATGTTCTCCGGAGCATAACTGAAAAATTCATACTATAAACTACATAATATAGATGTCAGCAGAGTAGAACAAGGCTCTTCATAATTATTTTGATTCCAATGGGTAGAATGAATAGACTTCTGCGGCACATTGATATTAAATAAAGTTGCATTTGCGAAAAAAATGCATGAACATAATTCCCCCAAATTGTGTTCTGCTGGAAAACCAACCTCCGAAATGGCAGTACAAGAAAGTGATATTACTGTAGAATCTACACTCATATTAAGTATAAAGATATACATGATTGATATGAGTCGCAAGAAATCGACTTGTAGTTTATAACTATTCGGCTGAGAACCGAGTAAAACCTGATGAAAATCAGGTTCATCGCCAATCAACTGCCGTCAGAAGAAAAAATTACGCGACAAGTTCAAGTTTGTTTCACAAAAAAGGTCATAGGGGGGATGCATTATGCACCATGCTTACCGCTTGATGAGCGACAGGAGTAAGTAGGCCTCTCGGTCCGCCTGAAGGCTAGTCAAAACGCCGTTGGCATATCCACTAAACCCTCTCCTATGTTCCCACATTTTGGGGAGAAGGGCTTGGGAACCGACAGAACGAGGGCTGAGCTTAAAGGGGCCCCCTTTAAGCTCAGCCCTCGTTCTATGATCCGTATACGTGTAGACCACAAAAAGCATCACAGGAAAATGCGGGTTTCGCCTACTGTTTGACGATATCTAATATCACTAGTAAATTATTTTAATAATACATCTAACTCATTACATTACATACCTTTGGTAAATATTTGCTTTTTTGTTCATGTGTGCCGTTTCTATTAATTTGGTTTACACATAAGTTGGAATGGGCACCATATGATAATCCTATACTGCCGGAAGCCCTAAAATGAATAATACTTTTTGTAAATAAATAACTTCTTAAAATGATTTATGAAATTAGTATGATTTTATATGTCGAGGGCTTGAACACATTTGGAGGTTCCTTATTGAGAGTGGTTAAAAAAGGTCGTAACAGACTTTAGAGTCTGTCCTGAGTTAAGGTGGTTGTGGTTCCTTTGCTTTTTAGATTTCCATAACATACGGGCTTTGGCTACTAAATTAGGGATCTAAGGAATCTTTTCATATAAGTACTATTTATTCAATTTAAATGAAAATGTTTTTATTACTTTATATATCGTCCATTACCTAGATAGTTCCTCCATAATAACGCAGTGATCAGAATATTTCCCTCCTGTGCCTCCATAATCGGTGCTCGCTGTTATTCCTGAAATTTCATAAACCTACATAGAAATAATTATTATTTGATTGCAACATTTACACTTATCGGAGATCATATTATAATTAAAAGATCAATAAAGGGATAAACATAACATAAACAGATTTTAAACAAACTTTAAAATAAAAAAGAAGGTGGTTACCTACCAATTGGACTGATTTTATATGTAGGTAGGACTCGTAAGATCCACAATATATTTTGTCTACAGTCGAGCGATTTTAATTAATCTTTTTTGTATAAAAGGTGAATTCGTAAGGTAATAAATCGCTTTCATTTCTTACCGAGAACTCCCAACTGTCCGAGTTTCTTCCAAAAGTTTCTCAATTCGGAGAAATTGTTGTTTTTGTCTATTTCGGCCGCTTTAGGTGCTAATTCTTTTTGAGCGAAATCGAACACCACTTGTCGCAGCTAAAATAAATTGAATATATTGTTTTTTATTTAATATGATGTGTCTCTATATTTTAAATACCAAATAAGTAAAGTAAGCAAATATGGAATATAATTCTTAATATGGAATATTGAAATTCCATCTTAAATTATTCCTATTAGGGGATTTTTTGAATTGTCAACAAGTTCCAGGAAATTGGCGATTGGTTTACAGATTCACTTGACTTATTTAAAAGTATGTTAAAATTTCTAAAATCAAAAATTTCAGTATTCCATTTTTGTGAACTATTCCATATTTGGTCGCTTTCATCCATTATTAATTTAACGTTTTGTAGTTTACACTCTTCATTCAACTGTTTGATTCAAAACAGCTGATTGCTTAGTAAAGTAACCCGCGTACGTAACACACGTGCCGATTTAATAATAACACCTTATTATTATTATTCCACATTCAATACCTGTTGTTGTTCACTTGACAGACCAAACACGTGTTCGTCAATTGGGTAATAGGACATACACCTTAGGCCACTCTGTTTTGCACACTTTCTCAATAACCGGTTTAATACTAAACTGCTTGCCATTTTGTTAAGCAACCTCTCTCGACGACTGTCCACTCGTCACTGAACTTCAATCTTTTACTTATGTTTACGCATTAATAACCTCTGTGAATAAATCGTCTAAAACTTAACGTGTTCGTAATAAGGCTTATAATTGGATATAGTTTGCCTACAGATATGATAATTAGACACGACACTCTTGATAAAATGTTATCAATAGTATTGTTATCAGTTAGTAGCTTGTTGATTTTAATAGTTTGTATTTCGTGATATTTTTATGTAAAGAATTTTCTTATTAATTGAATAGAATTCATAATAGATAATAGGTTGTTTCAACATATGAACTGGCTTAAGATGGCACTAACACCAAAATTATCAACGTTCTACTGGTTTTGTCAAAAAAAGTCCAAATAAGCTGATTAGAATAATTTTATATTTGTTGATTCGGTTTCAGTTAGCAGTTTTTAAGATTTAAGTCGTACTTAAATCGAACGTTTTCGTTTAAAAGCAAATAAGAACCTAAAACATTTATAATTAAATTAACAACGTGAGGGGACGAAGTTAACGCTAAATATAGCATGACTTACACTGATGATAGCATTACATTGTTAACTTGAGCGTTATAACTTTTAAGCGATCAAATAGCTATAAGATCAGTATCTGTGCCGTATAATCGAAATATTAAATTGGTATTTTTGTTTGAAATTGACTAACGTTGAATATTTTTTAATACTATTTTCTGCTTAGCTGTTCCCGCAACTTTACCCGCGTTAATTATAATAGACACCCGGGTATGATATAGCTTTCCGTAGGTGAAATAATTGTTATGATCGGATTATTATTTATTATTACCCGAAGATTACCCCCTACCAACAAAGTTAAAAACTGTACTCTTTATTGGTACTGATAAGTAGATTGTAATAAAATTAAGTTTCTTTTGGCAATGCTATTAAGCACAACTAATACATCGTACATTAATATTATTCCCGAGAAGCTCGATGGCACAGTGGTTAGCGCGTTCGGTTTACGATGCAAAAGTTAAGAAATGCGCCTACCACACGTGCATGCTTGACCACAGTTTTACTTGCGCATGCCGGCTTGTACACTGAACACTGTGCGTGTAGTTGGTAAAATGGTAGCATGCGCAAACCCCGAAGCCGGCATGCGCAAGTAAAACTGTGGTCAAGCATGCACGTGTGGTAGGCGCCTAACTTTACCAAGGGAGGATGGGTGACCAAAATTTTTTCTCAAATTCCTCCGTGCTACGATGAGCCGTTGCTTGGTTGGTGATAAAGTTACTGTGCGTTTTAATGGAAGGATAAAAATGGAAACTTTCAGACCGTCGCTCCCGTGCGACGTTTACAGTTCGCTAACATACTCGTATTAAATCATAAACGGGTATATTTTTATCCTTTTCCATTATTTGTTAAGTATCCCTATTTTTTTTTTAATTTAGACTTTTTTTATTATATAAATGGCCTTTTTCCGTTTTACACAGAAATTCTTCCAACGTACCTTAGTGAGAGACACTTATGAAATTGCTCGGTAATGGCTTTTATTAGTTTTCTTCCTCGACTACACTCTTCTTCTTCTTTTTAATTTATGGCATTGGCCTTTGGATTTCGCCAGAATCCAGTGTTCCCTGACCTATAATTTAGATTTATCATAGACAACATTACTGAATTGTCAGTTACGTTTTGTTTAACAAATGAACGATGAACGCGAGCTGTCAGAATGAATGTAAGCTGTCAGTTGCGTTTTATTATATAACACATCACTTTTCTACCACTGAAGCTTTGCCTCTTTTATTAATATTATAAATATCGTAATATCATACTTATCCTCGAAAGACACTACCCAAACATTATCAATTTCCGATATCTTTAAAATTGTATGTTACTATTTTTTCATATATTTAAAAATGGTTATATGAAGAAATTTGTTGAGTTGTAAATAAAACAAACATTTCATATTATAATATATTATTTAATTAAACTATTATATAGTTATCGAAGCACCTTTACGGAAACATAACAGTGTATAATTGATCTCTTAAAAATAACAATACACTTTTCTCTCACGATGGCAAACTATAATAACTTATACGTATCATTTCAATAAAAATACAATGTTGTTATTATGAAAGGAATGTACCTTAATTAAAATCAATTCACGAGGAATGTACATAAATAAGTAAATAATTTTACATCTCGTAAAATATTGCACTAAAATCCTGATTTAAAATTAAGTACACAAAAATATATTAATCATAATTCGATTTAAAGCAATCTAAAATACAACTCATTGATTTATATTAAGTATAGAAATTAAGACAATCAGATAAAATAACAAAAAAATACTGCGATAATTCTATAGATTTTTATAATCTTTGATAAAATTATTCGAATTAAGAATTATTTTTGTATACACTTAAAGTAGGAATCTCAATATATTTAAATTCAAATTTCATTGGGAAAGTTATGGAATAGGACGTATTACTGTAAGTTTTTGTCGCCAGAATGCAGCACCAGCAGATGTGACAAACAATTTTTTATAGCTGTCAAACTTCATTCACAAAGGAGTGAGCAAAGAGTAAGGTTAATAGTGAGCTTAGTGGTGATTTAATAGTCTCTAAATTCATTAGAAAGAGTGTCATTTTATAAAATAAATACATCATTGCTGCATATTGATATGTAAGAAGAAAGAAAATCTTTCATTTCCAAGACATAATATTAAAAAAAAATTGCATGTGCTGCCATCTATGCAGAGCATTTCAGAATATTCCCTTGTAAATTTGTAATTTTGAAGCTCAAATTGACTAGCAAAATATTTGTAGGTCAGTATCGAATACACAGGTCAAATAAATTTTCAATGTTCTACATTTGATATTCGTCAGGTCTGCTTTTCAATTGGTGTCCATTTTGGATTTTAACGATTGATAATATTCAGACAGCACTTTCCATGCCGTTGGTGCCATGAAACCTTTTGGTGGCTCCTTGCCTGCTCTGGCGAGACCTAAGACAATAATTTATGTGAGGTTATACATATTGTTCTGTCATATTTCTTAATTTAAACCTTAATGCATTGTGGGTAGAGTACAAAATCAATTGTGAAATTTGAATTTGTGGCAGCCTGATGTGTTGCTACTCTAATATATATACACGCACACAAGTAATCTAATCCGAAACGATCGGATAGGAGTTGAAATAAAATTTTTAATACATTATAGTAGTTGTTGACTTGGACATTTCTGATATTGATAATAATTACCATTTAGTGATGTTAACAATAACTCTGTTTGTTATATATTTTCAAAGCATACTGCTTTGTTTCGAGTTCGCGCAGCGGTTTACGATTAGTTAAGCAACTAAAGGGCCGGTCACAGGATGGGTGACCAAGGATTTTATTTTTCCGAGCTCTTCTATATTTTCGAAAACATGTTAAACCGTTTATCACAGTTACATCTGCCATTAATCCGCACTGGTAATGTGGTGGCTCATAGCTCAATTTCCCTATTCGATTCCAGTCTTGGGAAGGCCTGTACTCCAGTAGGGATGTTAATAGGCCGATGACTATAATGATTGATTTGTTTCAGGTTCAGTGAAATTTACCTCTCATTCTGGTACCGGATATGAAATCGAAGTCCTCCTTACGAGTTGGGTCAAAGAATGCCATTTTGCCAACCGAAGTGTCGTATGCTGCCACGCGGAACGGAATAATCTGGAGAAATCGGATTATCATTAATGTTCAGTGTCTATAAAGATAGATAAACGTTTTTCTGTGTACTAAAATAAATGAAAGTTCGGTGTATACGTGTCAATAAAAAGTGTAATATTCAATTTTGTTTGTTTTTGCTGTTAACGAAACTCAACTAAACTAAACCGTTATTGTTTAATTCTTATGTATTCATGCATTAATTCGATACGAGTATTCACAGCTAATGATCATGATTCGGTTAAATTAGTAAAAGTGCCATCTATCAAAAGTTGACAGAACTACTATAACGTTCTAATAAGCGTAATATTTTCAACCGACCGCTGGCGCCCCTTGTGTTTGTTAACGCCTGGCGTTTGTCCTGTGTTGTGTCCAATAGAACATATTATGTATAATTATAATTATGTATAATAAATTACCTCTAGGTCGTCGAGTCCGGGTGCCATGGCTAGTATGAGCCCGCCATGTCTAGGATCATACAAGTCCCCAGCGGCGGCGGGGTGGGGGAGACCGGCGGGGTCTCTCCCCACTATGTAATGGTTGGCCCCCGCGTTCATACGACATTTGGCGTGCCATTGCACCTGAATTATTATTTTTTGTTATTAAGTAGTTCAGTGGCATAGTATTATTTTCGTCGAGGAACTCGTGAGGTAGAATTACTTTCGACTTAAAACAAATTACTTTAAACTAAAATGTGCTACAATCTAAAATTAAATGTGTTACTGTTTGTGTTTTCACCAAATCGGTTCCAGCGCAAGATCAGAGCTAATCAAGACAAGTCCAGCATAAGCTGAGCTGCATGCTTACTCTCGAACGTAATCGCGACCGCGTCATTCGTGAAATGTACACAAAACAGATGCATAAGGTAAAAGATGTCAATAAAACAAGAACAATGCCATCTATCGATCTACTACGAAATAAAAAAAATATAAGTTACGAACGGCGCTATCTAGGAATTTGGTTTATAATTGATAAGCATATCTTTATAGATAATCTGACAGCCGTCGCCACAGTGAAGTCACACAATAGCGGGTCGTGTTTAAGTCACGTGACACAGAGACAATAAATCATTTTAAGTTAATAAAATAAATTTCTAAAAATGTTGTATTTTCTAAACATATTTTGTCTGCAGATTCTAAGAAATAAACTTTATTAGATTATTATCTAACAGGACCATTATACACAATTTATTTTTAATAGTGTCGAATACCCTATTCAATGCCAAATAGTATAGTACAACCTCTGAGAACCCGAGTTCGATTCTCGCTTGAGTCGATATAGAAAATAAACTTTTCTATATTGCCTCGTGTCTGGGTGTTGTGGTACCTTCGCTGTCTTACATACTCTGTAATACGAGGGCTTTAGCTATGTATTAGATACATTAAAAAAAATCTTTTGGTAAGTATTTAAATATTCTTAATGAAGAATGCTTTAAAAAAATCCACTTTCACGCTGGTACTCTGAGATGGGATTCGAATCCACGAGCTTACGCAATCTGGCAAATTTGATATATTGTGGTAACCTGATGTGTGGCCATGTGTACCTATATAGCAATATTGTTAGTTACATATTTACCTCAGTGGGACCGGCGTACATCATCGGTGAAGGGAATATAGCCAGTACTGTAGCCTGAGGGTCCAGCACCCCTTCGCTCAAAACCGCTTTATGCTGATTGATCCTCACTTCCAAAGGCACATCGTCATCTTTCGTCCATCCACCTAATGAAACATAAATTATTTGTTCATTATTTAGAACTCGTTGAAACTCTAAATATCCAATGCCATTTAATACATCCGAAAGAAAATCGGAACGCATTTTCTATTATTACACGCAACTGTTTCGAATGTAGCGACATCTATTTCGATTGAAGAAGTAGTTTCCGAACTACTTTTATAGAACAAAGTATTTTTAATTGAAGTTTCGGAAGTGGCTTCACTAAGAATCGACTACTTTTCAGAATAAATTATGAAATATATCTTGGGAAGGGTAACTTTTATGTAAACAAAATGTACGAATACATAAATTATTTTTGTTTTAAATTAAATTGTAATCTATTTTATATTATTGTATCCGAAACGCGGGCGGCCAAGATGGAGCATTGTGTGACGTCACATTTCAATAAATTAAACGTCAACATTTGTTGCGACTACACCCAGTATTCATGTTAATTGAAATGACATTTTTCTACGCCGGCTAAAAAAAATAGGAACCGTGAAAAGAAGACAATAAATTAAAGTAGATTTAATTTAGATGTGTAAGCGTAGCAGCAATATTAGTAGAGATAAGCAATAAAGTAAGTCTTCTTTTATTTATCCGTGATAGACTCCAAGTCAGGTAAAATATTATTGGTTATTTTTCTGGACAGGGTGCTGTCCCGTCAAAATGTTAGATTTTGGTAATATTGTGTGTAAAGGTGTATGTTTGTGCACTATATTATGTCCCACGCAGATAATCTATGTCAAAATTTGCCGAGATAAGAAGTGTTTATTATATTAAAGTAATACAAGTATCAAGAAGTCTTTAACCTTTTTCCCGAATGTTGCCTTCTGCATATTAAAATTTCCCGAAATGATAGTTCTGGTACACTTATATGATATATTATACACAAATCGCAACGCAGAAAGTTGAGTTGCAAATTTTATATGCCTTCCTCAGTTCCGATGTCTCCTGAAGAAACAAGTCTGAAGAAACATTGAACTACGATGCGAATCAAGACATAATTTCTTATTATGTGGGTAATAGTGATAAGTAAATAGTTACCAAGCGGATGCAAAAGTAGAACAGGTTTTTTGAAGCCACGCTGGACGAGCTGCTTTTGAGTATCTTGCATCAACAGAGCGTGACCGTTGTGAATTGGATTCCTTAACTGAAAATTCAATAGTTGCTTTTAACAATTGTCTTTGTTTTAGATGTTCATAATACATGCTTTAGCTGCTTAATTTGGAATCCGAGCAAAATGTCTAATACATATTTGTTTAATTTTAATAGATGACAACGGTAGAGGTATGAGTTTCAAGGTGGCGTAGTGGATAAGCGCCGCTGTCCGAAATCGTTGTACTTAAGCAAGTTTCGCAAGACGGTCACGGTCGAATGGGTGACCAGAAAGTGCTTCGGAAGGCTGTCCCGGCTACATTTGCAGTCGTTAATATCTAGCGTGGAGGGTCATGGCCTATGCTCCTTAGCCATGCATAAGGGAGGCTTGAGCCCCTGCAGACGCAAAAGGGCTGATGATGAGATGACAACGGACATCAATTAACTGGTTTAATAGATACTTTTAGTGTCGCTTCACTGTTCAATTTAATAAAATGTAACTTTAATTAATGCATACCAAATTCCATCAAAAAATTCATCATTCCTTATTTTAATGCACAAAAATAATAAAACAATTTTTGAGACAACTTTTGTTGTCATCGCTTATGGTTTGCAAACTTAAGACATTGTGGGTATATTTTTATCTTAGTCCTTTATCAATTGCTTTTCGAAGATGAATATTAAAATAACTGGCTGTCGAACTTAATTCACCTGGAATGCAAACACAGCATCGGCCCCTAACTCCTTGAACTTTTGCCGCAGCTCGTTGGGCGTCATCCTGTACGCATCGAGTCCGTCATTCCAACGTATACGCTCGAATACTTCCAAGTTACCGCCCACTAACCAATCGCCGGACTCATCGATCATCTATATAAATTACGAATTTATAAACTACTATTATTATTATTATATATCATCATCTTTAAAATTATCTAATTTACCTATTTCAATATAACAACCCTGACTGTTAATACTGACACAATGTTTACATGGCTGTGTTGGTCTTCCTTGTAATTATTTAAATTGTTTATTTACAAAATCTTGCCTAGAGTGTACTTTGGTACAAGGTCAATAAATTATTTGAATTAATTTGATTAAATTTTGCATTCACAATACTATAATGGAAAATATTCTTAATGAAAAATACTTAAAAAATCGAATTTGTCCCTGGTCCCAACCCGTCTCAGAGTACCAGGGTACTCAGTAAATATGTTCTATTAACAATTGGGATGACTGAGTAAAAAACATATATTTAATCCGTCATTCAGATAATAGAAAAATATTAGGTACGTATTTTTTTGCTTCAATTTAAAATTATAGGCGTCACATTTTGTAGAAAATGTACAAAAGCGTGAAGTCATGCGACATTACAACTCAATGTATCGTCATTAATTACGCATAAAAGAAAAACATACGTATATAATATTCTTGAATAATCTATATACACCATAATCCTGTTAAATAATGAACCTATTTAGAAAAATATTTGTTTCCAAAACTCACCTTGATATAAGGGTGTCCCGTATGGTGTATACCGAATTGTCTAGCGCATCTCTCCGCTTTTCTATGGGGATAGAATTCTGGCGCTCTTAGCACCGCAACGAGTTTCCCAGAGTGAGACAGAGCTATGGCATCTGCGCCTGACAGTCTCTCTTTCACGTCCGTCTCGACTGGCAACACTACTGGCACAGATTGACTGACTAATGAACCGTCCTGTGACGTTATACAGTTGAAATGGAGTGCCTGCGATTAATCAATGTAATATTTAGAAGATAACGACTATAGGTATGTATATTTATTAAGATTTAACATTACACCTTAGGGCCTATTCTATTTCAACGGAAACGAAATTATATCTATAGGGTCATAGACGACTTTTTTCGAGTATATAAAAAAGTATCATTCAAAAGTATAATATGAGTCTAGAATCTAAACTAAAATTTGATTTTAAAAATTTCCCGCGAATACACCATTTTCTGTCATGGCGTCGCCATGACGTCACCCCACTATAAAACTAATATAATTCTATGTATGCATAAGATTTAATCTGCTAAGTCCTGATATGAGCAGAGGGGCGTGACGTCACGCGCTGTTTGCGGTCACGTGAAGACTAAAATATTTGTTTTTTCATAATTAATTTAAGCAATATTATAAATATAATAAGCACAAAAGTGCGATTAACAGTAATAGTATATTAAACACTAAGAGAAAAAAAATATGTATTTATTTTCGTTTTGCTGTCTATACCCGTATCCTCGAAATGCTAATACTAGTCCAAGAACCCTTTGCTCGATAATTTAGGACCTGACACTGTCTTTAATTCACAGATAATCCACTCCACGTCTATCGATACTTACTTGAAGATATTCTTTTTCACGCATGAACCCTTTGAGTGGATACGCCCAACCTTCGGATAGCACCTGTAATATTCAAAATATCACAAAAAATTATAGAATTAAATAAATAAAAAAATACAACATGTGAAAGTTGTATTTTTTTGCCATCAACATGCCAGATGACGTTTTAAGTTCATTGAACAATTTTTATGACACGCATCCAATAGTTAAAATAAATGAGAAAAATAATCACGTTATCAAGCTTCTAGAGTTCATATAAGTCGTAATTTGTCGGTATCAAATAAGTACTGCCGACGAAGAATGCGGTCTACCTATTATGTTTCTGACAGTGACAGTGACAGAAGAGAAAATGTGATATTCAAACGTGTTTACTTCTTTTGGCCGGATAGCTGTTTAAAGATGGCTAGAATTTGGATCGTACTAAGTTCAAACAATGACTGTTGGTAAATAATCTTATCTCAATATTTCAATTCCTTATCGCTCAAAGTATTATATAATATTAATTATCATAATTATGGACAACTTTTTAATAACATTATTTTAAATTTATCATTGGAATATATAGATTTTAATCATTTATAATAATTTATATCAATAAGTTTACACGTTGGATGTTTGGAGTTGACATTCAACATCTAACGTGTTCCTTCAGTGAAACCTTAGATTTACCTTAGAAATTAGGAAAATGCACCTTTTGCAACTTCTACCATCATAAAAGTTCCATATGAACCCTTCTATCCACATAGAGACAAAGTGGAGGGTCATGGCCCATCCTCCTTAATGATCTATAAAGAAGGCCTGAGCCCCTGCAGTGGGGATGTTTCAGGGCTGATGATAATGAAATAATATAACTGTTTACCTGAACCCATTGTAAATCTAGTTCAGTGATTTCAATCTGTGGTAAGCGCGCTGCCTCCTCCAAAGCGCTGGTGAGACGGTTGCCGTATATGAACAGTTCCTCCACCGGTGCACTACTGCTGCTGAACCGGGGAATTATACCCTAATGGCATACAAATAAAGCATAATTTTCACTTAACATGAAACGAAAAATTAGGTTTGGAATGATCGTTTTTGTATAAATAAATAAACTTTGTCTTCAGGGCTTCGCAACAGGTCGAAAAATATGGGTTAATAAAGTTAATCAGGTTTTTCGGAAGTGCAAGCAAAAATGGGGTGGGGATTCGTATGCTGTCTCTCTCTCTATATCCAATTTAATTTTTTGTTTGATTTTCTTTAATAAAAGTGGTTGTTACGGAATGATGGATGCCATTTTTGAAAAAGTGGAGCAAGATCGGCATATCAGTAGGAATATCAGTACGAAGCAACTGAAGAACTGGGTATTGACCACAAAATAGTTTTGGCGCAATTGAAAAAAAACTGGGTACACAAAAAGTTGGATATTTGGGTACCTCACGAGTTTACTGAAAGAAATGTAATCAACCGTGTGCTCATTTGAGATTACTTATTACAGCGTAATGAAACCGAACCGTTATTGAATAAGCTGATAACTGGTGATGAAATGTGGATCACGTACGACAAGAACGTACGAAAAAAGTCGTGGTGAAAGGTCGGTCTGGCTTCACAGACTGTGGTGAATCCTGGGTTAACTCGCAACAAGGTGACGCTGTGTGTATCGTTTGGGATTGGAAGGGCATTAATATGAGCTGTTATCGCCAGGCAGGACCATCGATAATTAACTCTACTGTTAACAACTGAGGCCAGAATTAATCAATAGAAGACGTGTGGTTATTCATCATGATAACGCTAGACCTCACACATATTTTGCCACTCAACAAAAATTAAGAGACTATGGCTGGGAGGTTTCAATGCAACCAACTTTTAGTCCTGACCTTGCACCTTCAGATTTCCACCTGTTTCGGTCTCTTTAGAATTATTTAGGCAGTATCAGGTTAACACGAGGACTGCTAAAACCACTTGCCGCGGTGTTTTTGATCAGAAGCCCCAAATTTTCTATAACATTGGAATCATGTCCCTATCTTCAAGATGGCAAAAGTTATCGAAACGAAATGGTACCTATATACTTAAGTAAAAGTAAATAATAAAGTTTATTAAAAGATGTTTTGAATTTTGAAGAAACTTTTCCTTCAACCTATTATGATTTGAATAGTCATATTACAAAGAGTCATTTCAACATACCTGTGACTCTAGAAGCTTGATAACTTCCATTGTGGATTCCTCGATGGAACGACCAACAGTCTGAATGATAAGTTCTGGTTCTTCAGGCCTTTCATATTCTTGTGTGATGCCCGTGAAGCCCTGGAACAAAGCAAAATTGGAAATTACATCCTTCATAAGTGATAACTTATAAACCTTAATCGTCTGAAATACCGAATGACTCATCTTCATAATCATCAGCCCTTTTACGTCCCCACTGCAGGGGCTCAGGCCTTTCTTATGGATGGTTAAGGAGGATAGGCCATGACCCTCCACGCTGGCCCAATGCGGATTGGAGGGTATTAACGACTGTAAATGCAGCCGGGACCAACGGCTTAACGTGCCTTCCGAAGTACGGAGTAGCTCGAGATGATATTTTTCTGGTCACCCATCCCGTGACCGACCCTTGCGAAAGTTGCTTAACGACAACGATCGCATGCCACGGCGCTTATCCACTACGCCACCGAGCTACTCATCTTACTAGAGAACATTGTCAATTAACTGTTAAGAAATTTGATATCATAATTTTGGATACCGCACAAAAAGGATAAAAACGGAAGATTCCGCTACAAATACGAAAAAGTACAAATAGAATAAGAGTTGATTTCATTCATTTTCATTTCATTTCATTTTCATCAAGAACGTACCGTAACGACATCGAGTTTGGTTTCGAGAATGTTTTTTTTTATTATTATTTATTTTAATACTTCCTCATTATAGATATGTTTCGCATATCTCTATGCAGTTATATGTAACTAGCTAGCATTGGCGTCAACAAATGGGCTATTTGGACCAGAAATCGTATTAAAAAAGATGGTGGTAAGTAGACTGCAAAATAGTTTTAAAACTTTCGGTAGCCAGTGTTAACGACTCGTCGACTTCCTCAGTACTCCAAATTAAATTAATCCTTGGCAGTGACGTTAGAGATGCGGATAGCAACTGATAGAGATCGATTACAAATATAACAGGCGGCTTTTAATTAAACCTCTCTCTATCACGGTTTCAGATCCGCCATAATGTATTACAACGAGCCTGACCAAATTGACAGTGTAAGGCTACTCTCACTTTGGATACGAATTTGTGTTTGCGTAAACGTACAATAGTTTCGTACGAATTGCGTGCTCACTCACACTTAATTCGTTGTTCTGTGTATAAAAAGCAGTGTTTAGTTGGGTAGCAGTTTTCCTCTGTCACCGGAGGCTAACTCTACTGAAGAGTGGGATCTGGGAAGCCGTGATCGAGTCGCCTGGATACTCACTCCCCCTAACAGAACCCTTGGTCCTTCCACGTGGCCGGAGGCTCAGGTACATCGGAAGCGTCTACTTTAACCGGCGAGGCCGTGTAATGCAGGAGTGTAGCCTATTTACTAGATTTAAAGGATATGTCACAGAAACTAAGATTATATAAGTCCAAAATTATCACATTTAAACTGACCTTTATTTGTCCTTCCCTAGCTTTCTTGTAGAGACCCTTTGTATCTCTCTGTTCGCATACTTCGAGTGGTGTATCAATGAAGACTTCGAAGAAAGGTAAATCTGAATCCGTGTGAATACGACGTGCCACTTCCCTGTCCTAGAATAAACAATTCAGATGTTAATGAAGAATGAAAGAAATTTCAAAATAGATGCCGAAATATACATTTGCGAGTCATAAATAAACTTTGTTTCGTTCGCCTCCTTTGGCTCCAATCTATCTGATTAAAAGACTTATAGTTTAAATACATAAAAAAGACGGAAGCAGTTATCATATAATTTATTTTCTAATATCATGAATTTATGTGGATTAAAAATTACTTAAGTTAAAAGAAGATAGGCGACGAAACACTTCACGATATATCTAATGACCATATTAAGAGTATCTACATAAAAATCACAAGAGACACATAAAGGTTGGTACGACTACGTCATATGCTATATGCAATCGGCAATTGATTTTATACCCCACATTGTATTAAGGATTAACACAACAATGTATTAAAATCAAGTGGGGAAATATGACAGTATTATTTATTTATTTTGTACACAAATACAATTACATATGAACAAATGTAACAGACATTAGTGCAAGGGCACTGGTTATTTCAAATTGAAATATATTTTTAGTAATAAAGTATTATAGTATACTGTCACGTTCTGTTGACTGTGATAATAATATAAGCTCTAAATACATATTGGCAGTTTAACGCTCTTGGAATAACTACGCTATTATACTAGCAGAATCGAGGCTTAGGTTAGTGCACCGTTTCATTAGCGTACATAAAGGTAATTTCAATGAAATATTTGTGAGATGTGAGCTCGTACATAAACATGCTCTATTAAACTCCAATGGAATAGCAGTTGATTATAGTTTTTACAATGTTTTAATAGCTGTTCCATTGATGATTACTAATTCACTAATATGGGTCATTTGCACAAACATCCATTAAAGGTTTAATGTCGCCTTTGAGCTCTAATGAAAGTCAAATTTGTACCGGTAATGCCGCTTTAAACTAATGACTACTTTAATGAATTTTTGTACAACTGGTTGTAATAGATATGATAACTCTAGTTGTATGTCCGACGGGTAGCTTATTTAAGAATTTTAAACACGTATTTTGTATTTTGCGTAAACAATGAATTACTGCGATTCATTAAGTTGAAATGTCGCAAGACGTCACACCTTAGTACATTTTCTACATAGCAGTGGCGTAGCGAGCCTCCACTGCTCAACTTTAATTTCCTGTTAAATTGCAGCAAAACAAATTACGTCATTATTTGTTTTTTCAATTATTAGATTGACGGATTAAATAGAATTTAATTTTATTTAACCTTCGCATCGCATTAGGTATCATCCTTATTGCCGATACTGAACCTTGCTGTGGAGCTTAGCATGAGTAATTTGGACCTTTGAACTTAAACCCTTCTGTGACAGTTGGTCAATGTATTGGAAAAGTAGACTAAATACTTTGATATGCTATATCAAACTCTATGTTTGACTGTCAATGAACTTAAAGCTAATAAGATAGTCTGTCTCAGTAGATAAGTGCCCGTACAGAGATTTTTATGTATTGTATACACTGTGTATTATGTTATCTGACTAATACGTAGCAATCGTTTTCTTTGAAGTCACTAACCGGTACGTGTTGCTAATGATTACAGCAACACATTAACATTTATGTTATCTTGTGACACGATTTTTTATTTGTTTCTAAAACCGACAAACTGTTTTAAAGCGTGTTTTTCTGAAAAAATAAATTATTTTTCAGAGGTTTCGGATCCTTTCCAGATTCCGTGTTCACCACAGATTTCACCCAACTAGCCATCAGACGATAAATCTGATTCGTGAACAGATTAAAGTTGCGAATTGATGACAGAAAGAAGAGTTTTAGATAAAGGAATTAATAAAAACAACAAATTATAGCGGGCATAGAACACTGCCTTGTGGTACACCGAAATGAACACTACGCGTGTCGAAATCTTCGACATGTATCGGTTGTCAGCGCTCATATGCTGAAATAACTATGAAATTTGTTAATCACAGTAAGTCAGTTGAAAGAAAAATGTATGCCTGATGATGTCAATATCGATAGTGCCAAAAGCATGGATAAAATCATATAAAATTACCGTCGCTTTTGCTTCTATTTTCTATCTATATTGTGCATGTGACTTAGCGGTAGTTCATTCTAGATTTCATTTCAAACATTATATTAGTTGTACCACAGTTCCATAACAAAAAAATACACTTATCCAACTTTTAATACCCATAGGATAAAGCAATCGAAAACCGACCTCGGCAAATGGCGAAACAAAACTGCAAAGGCATACGACTCCACTATCGGCGAATAGTTTAGCCACCTCTGCCACTCTCCTAATATTCTCCTCGCGGTCTTCCTTTGTGAAGCCGAGGTTTTTGTTCAACCCAGTTCGAATGTTGTCTCCATCGAGTCCGTATGATGGGATACCTGTAAGAAATGTGGCTTAATTAAAAACTTTATTTTTAAATTCGCTTCACTATCGCTGTTTTTATCCGATATTTATATTGTTAATATAAAATGTATTGTCCTTCATAATAATCGGTTAGTTAACCGATTTTAATTAAACCATTTATTAATTAAGTGTGGTAACCAACAATGGCAACACGTAGTTATATATCACAAACATCATTGAATCAGATGTAACGTTCGATACAGTTTTATTGCGAAACATAAGTCATTATTATGGGTATTGCATTTATGTAATTTGTTCACGGTTTAATTCTGTGAATATTGATGATTTTAAATGTGACAAATGTGTAAAATTTCAATTTATTTACACCTTATGGTGTGAATTAAATATTACGTAATAAATAAATCGTTTATTAAAAAAAATGTTAACATAAAATAGTCAAATGAAATCAAAAACGAGACTTTATTTATTTCGATAACATAAATATATCATCTAAATAATCAAAGATTGTAAGAACTCTTCCTGTTATTTTGATATAAAAACAAAACTGCTTATCCGACTTCGATTAATTTTGCTAGGACCACACTAGTGCTATAAGTTTTAAGTCTATAATTTGCAGAAAAAATATATGAAAAAGGTACAGCTGAACATAGAACTTTTCTCTTATTGGTTTTGAAGTTTGTTAAAAAGACATAACAAGATACAATATTAAACTTCATACCTGTTTTTATTTGATTAGATAATTATATTTGAAGGTAAATCGTTTTTATCGATTCATGTCAGCCTTGAATATGACTTACAAAATCTTCAATGAGCTAAACATTAGAAGTACCGAATAATTCAACATTAGTAATAACAATTTCCATACGGGTGTAGACAGTAAACAATTTTTTTTTTCTGGTAGTGATTAATATACTTTTACTGATAATCACCCTTTTATGCTTATTATATTTATAATATTGCTTAAACAAATTATGAAAAAAAAAAAACAAATATTTTATGCTCGTTGTCACGTGACCACAAACAAACAACGCGTGACGTCACGACCTTCATATCAGAACTTGAGACAATTCAACCTTATGCATACATAGAACGATATTCGTTTCAGAGTACCGTCATAGGGACCCCATGACAGAAGTGGCGTTAACGCCGGAAATTTTAGAAATAAATTAATTTTTAGATTTCATCTATAAAATAAAAATATAAAAAAGTCGTCGACACCCATTATTGTGCCCCAATTTTATCAATAAAATTGTATAGGATAAATGTACCTTTAGAAACCAGATAAGCTTCGAGAGCGAAAGCGATGCTAGTCTTGCCGGCGCCGCTGAGTCCCGTGAACCAAACCGTACTGCCGCGGAAGGCTCTACTGCCAAGGGCACGACTCCTTGTCGCCCTCGACACTTGGTGCTTCTGTTCCACAACATTTGTCGCCACTTGAGCGCACTGAAATAAACACAATTAAATTATTGAAAAATACGTAGCTCCATTGAGGTTCGAAGCAATAGCATAGGACGGACTATCTAATTATAGACTGCCATCAATATACAAGTAGGTAAGTTTAAAATCTAGTGGGCATAATTTGACAGTTTTGTATAGTCTTATTTCGATACCTCAATCGCTTAATACCATTTCAGCAGACCGAATTTTACCGAAAATATTTAAACCATCATTATTTTAAAACTATGAACAATAAAAAAAGTGAAAATCTATTTGGAGACCGTCCTTTAGATATAGGGCATTAGACGAGGTGTTGTTATTGTTCATACAAGTATGGAAATGCCTATAATTAAGGTCAAAGTCAAGTTATTCAGTTCACGTTTGAAATAAGATATTTTCCTAATTCCTTACAGTTAAAAATCAACTTAAGACAGAATTAGAGGTGGGTTTAAAGATATATTCGAGTAGGTACAACTTAATTTTAATCGATAAATTAATAATTCCCAGTCGATTTTAAATTGAAATACTACAGTCGAAGGAAATAAAAAAAAATATATAATAACCATGTATACTTGATAAGGATAGAAATTAGATTTGCAACGAATATTCGGCTGCTTTTGTTATATTTGGCTTTGGCCGAATACCGAATACTTAAGTAGGTATCTAAAATATTATGTTGTAATGAGATAATTGGTAAAATAAAATAAATTGTTGATTAATTTTATAATAATATTATTTTTATATTTCTTATAACAACAATGAAACTCGTCAATCTTCTTCTGTACTTACAAAATATAACGATATTTTTTATGCGTTTGAATTATAGTCGTGATCAAAGTTTAGAAGCGGAAGGTTATGGTGTAAAAAGATTATTGTTTCTGTGTGTTTTTTAGGAAGTAGTTTACTTTTTTTTTCTCGTAAACTAGCCCAGCATCAGTGCAAAGACGCTCTGAATAAACACTACTTCCTGCACGCGTAGCACGACAAACTCGAGAAACGCTTTGTCTACACTCATTTGTCGGTTTCTCGGGTCGAGAGTGAGATATGTATGGGCGCGCTCGAGAAAAGTGACATTTGAGTGTAGACAAAACGTTCTCGAGTTCGTCATGGTACGGGTGCTGGCGCCAATAAATATTATGCTGCAATCTTGATCAAAAACGGAAATGTATATTTTATTGCTTGCACCTACTTATACGGATTGTCATGCCGTGATATGTTATTAACACTATAAAAAAAATATCTATTTCTGTCGCAACTGCATTTTTCTTTTAATACAAGTTTTAGCGCCACATACCGGCCTAACATTCGTTTAAGCTCGCGGAATTGTAGAAATATAGAAATGGATGAATATGGTAGAATAATAGAAATCGATGGCCACAAAAGATTGAAATTCATTAGAAAAGAAGGATATATGATATAGATAAAGGACAAATGCCTTTTTGCGTATATAAACCATAAAGAATATTTAATATTTGACACTATCATTATATAAATATAAGCACTTCTATCTGTATTAAATAAATACAGATATTAAGGGGCTGAGGACACTGAATGATTTTTAGAAATCGACACGCCCCCTTACATAATTACAGGTGTCTACGCTAGTGTGGGTTAGCTCATTGCACGTTCCTCAGAAGAATAACAAATGCCTATCGGTTCAGCGCCAGCAGATAAACTTTGTACTAATAACAATGACGTTTTATAACCATCAAGTGCTTTGAGTTAGCTGTCTAAAGTGCTTACACAATAGGTGGCGCTGAATTTTTTTAAAAGAAAGGAATAATTTCTTTTTACTCCAGATTTTTATGGGGCTTAGAAAGGACAAGTATGTTTTTTCTTTTTGGGTCGACAAAATAACATGCTATTATTTTGTCTGTTTCATATTTCAGAATTTTATTCTAATTCATTGATATTTTAAAAAATGCTTTGCATTGAATAATGAAAAGATTTAAAATTTAAAGAAATATGAAATAACTATATTAAATCACTTATGATACCACACATCACATCACATTTCTTCACTCGATTTTAAACCTTAATGTAGTGAAGGTAGAGTTAAAATAATTATGATAATTTGATAGACTGTAGTAACCTGACTTGCTGCTGTGTGTACCTGATAATGTCGGCCAATCAGAATAAACCAAATATCACGTCATGGCACCTAATCCCCGCCGAGTTTGACTGAGACGGACTTTCATACCTTATTCTCATTACAAGAAGAGTCATTATACATTTTAATTGTACGAATTTTTGGTAGGTCGGCTTTACGTAAACGAATATTCACCATATGCAATATTAATTGGAATTCATTGTAGTTAGTACACATATCCATATCGAACTTTCCGGAGGAGGAGAAAAAAAGAAATTTTAGAATCGTTTTTATGAGAATATAGGGTAGACGCGCCTGTTTCTACCTTTGTCTTGCTGTCGAATATTTCATGGCCCATTTAAAAATAATTAATGCTTTAAGAATTGGACTCTACCTGATCTTTGGACTGGAGTTAATAAAACATATCCTGTTTTCATAACTTGAAGAAAAGTTATTTTTTCCTCTAGCCATGATCCTTTTATGGAGGTGGAATGATATTTTGTAATACTGACGCATCATCAAAGCATAGGACTGGTTGACCGGTTAGGATAAAACCATTAAAACACAATCATTTTATTAATCCCATAAATATAGATGATTTCAAAGTTGCCGTCAGACATTTTTTATTTAATACTGGAAAGCGAACTGATTCAAAAACAATATCTTAAAAGTCTATCCATATTTTAAATAGTACATTAAGGATAAAGAGCTTGTAGGGAAGGCAAAGTCATACAAAAACACTATTTTTATGAACTCCGAAACAATCATAATACTGCAATTATTAAATGAAAATTCACTAAAGTTTTTACAGATAAACTTATCATTGGCTTAGATTGTTTTTGTCATGGAAAATGTATTTTATTTTAAAAGAAAATTGTCTTCGATTTAAAAAAAAAAATTTTCTTGCATAACATTGTAGCTGTAATTAAAAATATAGAGAAAAAACTGTTTTGTCCATCGAATCCCTATTAAGTCAAATCCCTATTAAGTAAGAATCCCTATATACTAACATACAGTTAATAAATACATCGAAGTGCCTAAGGATTATGGGATATATGATAGCAAGACTATGCTAGCTGATTTTCATAACAAATAAGAATCATAATTATTGCCTTAACTTAAAAAATACTGAAGCCGTAATTTTCACGTCATTGTGTTGATTTGTAAAATGTCCACACCGTTACCCAGCAATAAGTATAACTGTGTCATAAACAATGTTTAATTTTATTTATAAATCCATTTTCTAATTGGGTTGTATAAGCATGTGCGTTTTTTCTGTTACACGTTTTATACTTATAACAAATCTGCAAAAAAATAATGTCTGTACATTGAATATATTTACAAAAAAAGGAATACGAATTTAAGAAATATTGTCTGTTTATCTGTATGTACACGTTAATTTTCGGGACTACTGAGTATATTTGTATGAAACTTATTTTGTTAATACCTGGGAAATATATGGGGTATCATTAATTTTGGAAACTTAAACGTTTGATGCACAACCACAACAGACCAGCGACACCTTAAGAAAAAAAATTGTGCCTGATCAATATATTCTGCTAAGAGTTCAAAAGTCAAAGATCCAGAACATATAATGTGGTCCTCAAAGATACTAGTTATACTATAACATCGGATAAAAATGACTTCTTAACAATAAATAGTTTTTTTTATTATTGACATTTTTTGCACAAATACACATTGGCGTACTAAATGCCATGGCCAATTTTTACCAGTAAACCTTAGGATGATGTGGACACGGGGTTCTCTCTATTGTTGTACAGGGCAAGTTCGCGACCTTGTTGCGTACAACAAAACGCGGGAAAGGGAAAGATCTATGGTTAGCGATACGTATCGTTGTCTTTCAACGATCATGTAAATACTAAGGTTTATTGTCCGTTTTTTCGTCTACTCTAGAAACAGACAATGCAATGTGTCAAAAAGCTCTGATTAGATAATTTGGATTTAGTTTTAAATATATTAAAATTAACTTTGTACATAATAGGACGGCAACATCATTATCCTAATTTTATAGTAATTATGTATGTATATACATACATACATAATTACTATAAAAATACATAATTCATAAAGTAATTAATGATTTAATGTATTTGCTTGTTCCAAACAATGAAACATTTGCTATAGAATAACTTGTTTTTAGAAGCTAATTTATTATTTATTGATAATTCTTGTAGACATAAGTAGAATGGAAATTCATCCCACAAAGGAATAGATTTGAAGAAGAACGAAGAGTGAACGATTTCGGAGAAATGAGATGGGCAGAGTAGACGATTAGAGGAGGAACAAAGAGTTTTGGTGTGAAAGGTACATAAGTACTGTTAAGATAAGAAAGAGTGTTTGGAGATTTCAGCATAGAGGATAACGTAGTTAAAGCACGCATACTTCTTCGCTTCCGGATGGACGTCCATTTTGAATTTTAACGATATAGGGACACATGATCAAATTTTCTAAGAATAAAAACGGATAGAATCTTCGGTCTCTAGAATCCAGTTAAGCCAGTTAAACATCTGACCATCCTCATACATTGCCCAAAATCTTTAGATCTACCAGAAAATGAGATAGAAACAATTTCTGAAGTACGCAAAGATATAAAAACAGCGCAGTAAACCACGGAATTCTGATCGACTTTGATATGCTGTTGAGAGAATAAAAGTTGCTGGTGTGGAACTGAAAATTACCTGTTTTTCTAATGCCCAACTTTGCCTTGTTGTTTTAAGGGTTAGCAACGTCTCTGGGCTCTATATTTTGGCACCCGAATAAAAAATAACACCAATAAAGTTTATAAATTTCATCTTAAATATTATTGTTAATCATATATACCTTTGGCACCGACAGCAGACTGTAGAATTTTGCTACAAAAAGAATTCTACCTTTACAGGTTCATTAAGTTATAACC